GGACGGGGGGCAATCGGCGTTCCGGCCAGTCTTGCGGTTCCAGTTGAATCTATTGAAATTACCGTCTAACGGATTGGCAAGTGTGATGGTGCGGCTAACGTGAGAGGCTCCAATCAGCGGGTAATTGCTTCATTCCGTTGGCACGGCCTGCCCAATATTGTGGTCCTCCGAGCTAAACTCCGACGCTGAGATGTTTGCTCCAAGGACGTGGGCAAAGATGTCATCAACTTTTATACTCTAGAGCTTTTGATCGGATCCATGATCGGTATCTTCGGTTAATGAGAAGATTGCCGAGCGACGCCAACGAGTACGGATGTAAAGAGCATCACAATCGTCTATACGTCCCTAAGGGTGTCCTACCGCCGTTTCCCCTTGCTCGTTATGTCTGTCCTACGTGTCGCCGCTATTAAGGCCCCTTTAAAAATGTCGATATTAAACCGCACGCTATTTCTCCCATTATGATTTCGTGAAACGACGTACGTGGGTGCCGCCACGTTTGATGTTTTATCCGCGCATACATACACATATACATCGCTGTCTGCTCAATCCGGGCTTGCGGCGGCGTCGGCGGCGGCTTCAAACGTTCTCCACACGATACCCTCGGCTCTCGGGAGGACGGCTTTTCCTTTCCGCGTGCAGTTCAGAACGTTGGATCGGAATTAATGAACCGTAATCCCCCAATAATGAGGCTTCGGCTTCACTGGCTCCGATACGACCTCGTCGATCCTTCCCTTGCAACTCCCGACCACCCCTCGCTTCCCCAAGTTCCGGCCTCGTCTCCTCCATATCGTACACGTGCGCGCCGGCGTACATATGTGCTCGCGTAAATGTCACATACACCTTATGGGCCATCTACGTTACACCTGCGTGGCACACAAGGCCTCGAAGCTCGAAGCTCGAGACTGTCGACAAATTATCTTTCCAACGTGCACGCGTCGATACCGTTCACCAGCGGCGTATGTCTATCCACACGTGCGTTACACTCTTTCGTGCGAGAAAAATCGGCATCTCCTTGAAAATTCGACTTTTCGAATTTTCTTTGTCTTTTTTTTTGCGTCAGCGCTGACCTCGAACTTATTAATATTTAGAGCATGTGATATACAGGCTTGAAGTTTCTCATACGCTATAAAGATTTTCGTAATTGCTACAAATTGTAGCGAAAATATCGATTTGATTCCCGTTTCGGTCTATTAAAATACTTAAAGGTTTCGGTTTCGATTTCGGTTTTTTAGCTAACAAAGATATCGGTATTGCGCAAATTACAGTTTTTTTCGGTTCCGGTTTATTAAAATTTTCTTGAAATTTTATTAAATTGTTTACATATGCATACTGCGTGTATGGATATGTACTTATATCTTGTAAATCTTAATTTTTGATACATAAGGTTTTTATTTTAAAATAAAAAATGAAAACATGTGTATGTAATGATAATAAAAACCTTATGTATCAAAAATTAAGATTAAGGGTTTATAAAATTTTCATACGGTTTACGGTTCTGGTTCGACAAAAATATCGGTTACGGTATACGGTTTTCGGTTTCGGTTTTGGTTTCGGTTTCGGTCCGGTCCGGGTCTCTGTTAATTATTTAGTAAAAGACGCGTTTAAAGAACGTAAAGATATTATAACGTTTCACATTTCCGCTTTTTGCGTCTGCGTTTAAAGAGTAACTTGCCTTTCAGCTACACTTCTTTGCAAAGCTTTAAAGGGAGGAGTATCAAAATTCTCCCGATATTAGTTGTAGTTACAGTAACATGGAAAGTTACATCCACTCCTTGAAACTTTTATGGCTTTGTATATTGCAAGCTCGCTGATTTTCTCGCGACGCTCGCGGTTATACGCGCGTTTGACCCGGTTCGAGTTCCGACTGCAAACGAAACTTTTAATAATCGAGGTGCCCGTGTATAGTGCCGAGCCCTTCAGCGTTCGCAAATACCAAATACGCCGGCGTGTCTGCCGCACGCGTTGCCGAAGGTAAAATCGTACAGATTAAAAAGTCAAAGGGAGACGGTGATTTTCAACCGCGATATCTCGCATAGGAGGTTACGCGAGAGAGACCTTCCGAGTCTCCGACCTTGTACCGCGTATTATCGACTGAAGCTCGTTATAACGCTGTATTCTAGTTTCAAGGTACGCGTAATTACAAAACGCGAGATTCAGAGCGCTCGTCTTTGTTCGTCTTCGTTTGGCTTATGTAACATATTCCGCTCGTGTAGAATATCCCGGGAAAATTAACGGGAATTATGATTCTTCGATTTATAATTATTATTTGTGTTTCAAAATTAAGTTTGCCACCGAGAATTAGACGATTCGCATAAAGAAGAGTTGGAAAAATAATCAGTTTTAACGAATTTGCCTTAAAAAAAAAGTCGTTAATGATGTGTGTATCCACGTCATGTAGGTTTCATAAGGTGTTATGATTTCACGCTTCCGCTACAAGCCAGTACGTCGTGTGCAGGCCGACAGCGCGTCGTCGCGTATTACAGTATCAGATTGCAAATCAATATCTCATTTCGTAGGTATGAGCCGAGATGTTGCGTTCGTAATGCAGTTTCGTGACCGAGAGTGTCGACGTGTTCGAGTGGCTGAAAGCAGGGGGCACACACGCGAGATGACATACGTGTGCGATCGTACATACACCCGACATTTTTATGCGCGCACATACGTGACTATATAGATCGACGAATTTGATAGGAGAGGGGCAAATTGGAAGGGGGTGATCTTGTGACGGGTCAGAGGAAACTGGAACGAACATAGTTAAGTCGAATTACTCTTGGGGCTCCATAACTTCGCGATAGCGATTGTTTTCCGCGAAAGATTATCGATTGATTTTATTGCTAAACACTTGTTATTGTCCTACCGTTATCTTTAAAAATAGTGGCAAAATAGGAACATGATTTTTAATCAATTTGATATTTATTAATATAAAATTAATAAATATCAAACTGATTAACAAAGAAAGATGCAGTTTTCATTTCTGCATCGAAATTTTTTTTCTATACACTCACATGGCCCGTTGGCCTGTTTAATTGAACGCCTTCTCTCCCCTTCCCCTCCCACTGCTCTTCGCCCGCGTCATGTAGAATTTAATTTCGAATTTGCATAATTTGCCGCAATAATTAAGTCGCGCTCGCGCGTAGTACGCAACCACGTGCCTTTCGTATCTTTTTTAGGTAGAATAGTTTCAGGGTCGAAGGTCGGCATTTCGGCGAAAGCATTAACTCCAACACTCGCCGCTGCTTTCGTCCTCTCACTTCTCATCCCTTCGGCCACGACTGTGCGGCGAAATCTCGTAACATCGACGTCCAGATTTGCATAATTCGTTGCGATAATTAAGCAATCTGCATATTACGGACCGCGCGCGCGCACCTCTTTCGTGGGCAAATAGTCGCGGTCCTGAAGTCGGCCCCTGCGCTCCGTCTTCCGTTCGTGTATTCGGCTATTAGATTAGAGGGTTGTAACGAGTAATATTCACGTAACCATTCCGCACTACCACCCATGCGATTTCACCCCAACGCATGTACACGTTTAATGCATGACATAAACTGCGAATCCCCCGTCAAATATCAAAATGACATATGATAAATCTTGTTACGCTTTTGTAGCAGCTTTGATAAAAAGTAATAAGATGATATGGTTTTATGTCAGAGTCTCAAAGACGCATAGAAAGATAGGTAACACTGGATACATAGATTTTATCAGAATTTTTTTTATCAAAAGCACCGGCCTTAGATTATATCATAAATATTATAATATACTACCTGGTTATATATCCGGGGCTTCGCCTGGGCGTCTTTTTTTAAAACAACTTTATTTGTGTTATTATAATTTGAATTCTCATTTTGTATTGTAAATTCTTATAGCTTTCTTTGTTAGCTTTTTAAATTTTTTTAAATTGGGTTGTAGCACAATGGCACATAGCTTATGTCACTCAGGAAGATATAAGCTATCCACCAGTGTAAAAATGGTTGAAATTGATTCAATAGTTTCTAAGATTGCCTTAAACAATGGGAAAACAAACTTTTCCCCTTTATATAATAGTAAGGATTTTGTCTGTATTTTATTACTTGTTCGATTTTTTAAATTCTTTTAATGTCGGGTTTGTAAAAAGTCGTGCTAGCTCTTTAATATTTCAATAATTTCTCTCTTTTAATGGTGGGTCTTCTGTGACCGACGAAAATAAATTTATTCAATTAGAGAGTTGTAGAATCGCGAACAATGTAAAAGCCACAGTTCAATATAAATCTTCGCTTCGATCTTAATTGTACATTGTCTAATAATTGTCTGAGACACAAACTCCCTTAGGCGCGTCAATGCATGTCAGCGTGAGCGACGGTCGATAGGCAATAACGCCGACAAGGACGATCGGGAGTCCGGCAAGCGGCTTTGCAAAGTTTCGCCAATCAGCCCAGTTGTAATTGAATTGTCAGTGAGTTCCATCCGGGAATTCCTGGTCCGACCCTAAGCCGAGAAAGTTCGGCGGTTTGACGGAGACCGAGGGACGCTCTTCTCTCCGGAGGGCTGGCGGAGGGAAGGAGGCGAGAGCCGCGCTTCTCCAAGTGTTATGCAGATTTCTGTTTGGCCAGTCATTACTGAGGTGTTTGCAGGCACGACAGCCATTGCTACGGCTACCCGGTCCGATCTCCAACCACCAGCTACCAGTTACCCCTTCCGACTCCCCCCCTCCCTCTCCTCGCCCCTCTGCCGTTAACGGAAGACGGCCATCTACTGCCCAGCGCCATGGCGCGCATCCCTATCCTCGATATTCATATCAGCCCCCCTTTATCCAGTGTAGCGCTTCTATGAATATTTACCCTCCTTTCTGTTAATATCGCGTACGTGACATTTTCCGAGCGTAAATACGTGCCGGCGTCCATGAACACGATGACTGGCGGTCATCGGCTGAAGAGGCGGATCGAAAGATAAAAAAATAAAACGCGCGCTCGAGGAGTGAAGGGGTCGACCAATGCTCGTTGTTGGAATATTACACGACGGATACTCACCGGCATAGTTTGGCTACCGTGTAGAGAGTTTATTGCTGCCAGTGCTTCTTGGTGCGACGAAAGTTTCACGAAGGCACAGCCTGAAACAGAAAGAATAGAATAATTATCAATTTAGTGAAAAATATCGTATATATAGATTTTACAATTTATGTTACCATATCTTAAATATTGAAAATGCGGCTTTTTCTCTATGTTCTAGTATAAATTTATAAAAGTATATTATATGTCACAAAAATATTCTGCATCAGCATCTTTATTTAAATATCCGCAAAAAATAAATTTTGTAAGTACGCTTAAAAAAATGTACACTTTATATTCTACAGATACGCGCCTATCTAAAATCACGCAATTTATTGTCGAGATAAAAACTAGTAAAACGAAGAGTTAAATAGAACTCGTGATGTTCGTCTATTCATTTATCGGAAGGAGCGTCGCGAGGAAGAAGCCGCTCTTCTTTTTTTATCATAAAAATTCCGCGGTGTACTCGAAACTCGGAAAGAGGTGAAAATAGTTTTATCCGTTTTATCTTCGCGAGTGATCAGCGACGAAAGGAGTTCCGTTTCTGCCATTGTCGTTTCTGCCGTTTCTGCCACATGAATAATATACATACGCCGTTCGAAGATATTTATCTGATATCATGAATTATAGGCCATAAACTTTTTTTATCATGCAGGTTGGGTCTCGGAATCTTTGAATGAAAGGTGGTATATTTTAGATCAGTAAAGAAAATTACTGTGACTTTATTTTTTTCGACGCTGCGGTGTAAAAATTATCCCAGGTGACTATTCCCGGGTTAAATTTGCCATTTAGAGGTACTCATATTTTCCCAGATTCCTCTCTGTTAAAAGAGAGACGGCTAATTTTATGCGCGGCTCGGCTGACTGAGTCGCGACATTTCTCGAATGTAGGACGAGGGACCTTCCGGTCGAAAATTTATCTCCCCGTAATAACACCGTGGCACTGGCGCTTTCCGGGTGTGTCACGCCCGGTAACGGTTCGTGTACGTGCCCGTGTCTCTTTGTCTTCCGTCTTCTTTCTCTGCACGCCCTCCATGCATCCCTCCGGGAACGCGGCCGTGTCCGCATTATAATGGCATTACGTGTCCTCACATTACACTTGCTGTCCCAGCTCGTAATACACATTTCTCCCCACGTTCCGTTATCCCCATGCCGAGTCTTATTTTTTTCTCCTCGGATACGTCCGTCCCGGATATATCCTACATCGTGATTCGGAGCTTGTGCAGTATTTACAGAACCTCGGACGAGAGGGTGTCGCGCAAACACCGTCGAAAAATTGAGTTAGAAATGGTACGACCGAATAAAATGTCAAATATCATGATAGCATCTGTCCAACGAAATTCTATCAAATTATAATATCGTATTAATTTGCAATTATTTTTTCGCAATTTAAAAAAGAGACAACGTAAGAACTGTATTTCTATTTATAACTCAACATTTAAAATAAAAACTGTTTTTCTTTGAGAAATATCTGTTAAAATTTTTTATGATTAATTTTATGATTAATTAATAAAATATTCGTACTTGAATATATGAACAATGATTAAAAATACATGTTTTGCAAGCACTATTTTGTAAATCACGTTGAATCTCACGCGCTGCAAGAGACTCATTAAAAATTCTCTTCGACTATCTCAATTTTTTGCTACTTGAGATCTAAACAAAATATTTTTTTATATTATCTGTCGAATTTTTGTACTGCCTGAAAGTTCGCTGCTTTCTCTGCGCCTGTGACGGTCCTCTCGTTCTTCTGGTTCGTTTCGTCCTCGCGCAACCTCGGCAGCATCCCATCTCGCGAATATAAAAAGGGCCGACACACTCGAGTGTTTAGTAACTTTGTCAGCGTTTTTAATGCTCGCCCCTTTTTCGTTCCGACTCCCGTACGGTGCGCTCGTTTCACTTTTCGTACCTAGGGCCCAATAGACACCGCCGACGAAACACTTTGTAAAACCTGCAGCCGTAGCAATTACCCCGTAGAATTCGTGCTCCATTTTCGTGGAATTTAGTGGCTTCGTTAATGAAATGAACTCGTCCATTCCTACTGCCGATAGCAATTCGTATGATTCATAATCGATATTGGCAATCGTTGTCATGCAGACTCTTCGTTCTATGAAACACGTGAAAATTTTCATTTTGTCGTAATCACGGTAATGCAAATATAATTAATTCTCACTATAGATGGAAGTAATAAAACAGATATAATAACGTCTGTTTTCAATTCTAAACAAATGGATAAAAATACTGCTGGCAATATTTATGTGATTTCTATATCGATATAAAGTATCAATTACATCTAAAATTAGAGCGAACGGTTAATTGATGCTCGTCTGAAAAGTAGACGTAAATTTCAGTGAGTATCGTGCGAAGTGCAAATAGAATGGATCAAATGTATCACGAAGTACGCGAGAGCTTCACGCTACGGGCTCGATATCAAATCCCACTTGTCCTATTCCGCGTGGTCGCGCCCTAACAGGCATTTCGCAAAGTCGTTAATAATTTTTTTTTAAGCGAGTCTCTTTCAGTACTCCGCGCCATTAGTGAAATAGTCGGAACTCCACCCATTCGCTGCGTGTCAGCAAGACTATACATATGTGTGTATTCTTTTATACCCGTGACACGAATCTATCTGGTTTGACTGGATATCTCTTCTCCATGCTCCCTCTGTATTCGCGTGATAAAAAAATATTCCGCTTTTTTAATCATAAAATGCAAGTACGTCACTCTCGAAAGCATTGTGTTCCGAAATTTTCAGAAAAAAAAAAAAAAAAAAACGATTTGCGGATGAATTGAAAATTTACATTACTGACAGATATTATCATATGCAAACTCGGTTGTGTATTGATGCATACTTGACATGATTATTTTATAAATAATTGTTATATCAATTATTAACGATTCTGTATTTGCGCTTGATTTGTTTATGTGTATTAATCGTATAACTTCCGCTGTTATACGGAATATCATATCAATGTTAATTGGCAAATGATATTAGCTTTCACGTTGGCTTGTATATTTATGTTAAATTATCTAATATATTTATAAAGTATTTAATAATTCCCGCATTGCGCCATTATATTCTATAACACGGCAATTTCGTTTATCCTCGGCGGTTGAAAAAAAAAACAGATGTTTGCCAGCGACTTTTACAAGCACGTCGCAAAGGTTGACATACACGGGGCGCGTATATCAACGGGTCTATATTCAAATCGCCCTCTTTCATCAGCAAAGGTAACAGATGTTCGTCGCCCATCGATCACGACGATTCTATTTTCTGAACTGACACTTCTTTCGGAACATCAACTACGCGACTGGATAAAAGATCTATCGATCGGCGATATAGCGCCTTCGCGTAACGTAGCGAAATAATTACTCTCTAATGAGGCCCTCTAACACCGAGGCGAACTCAAACGAGAGAGCGCAGCATTTTTTCGAACTTAGTTTGTGGCTTGATTTAATTATCAACTGTTGATTAATGAAGCGCACAACTTCCGCCAAGTTTTACTCGCGGAAACGAGTATAAGAAGATCGATCGCTAAACGCGCTATACATCTCGCCTTGACTCGACTATCGAGCGGCAGCTCGTCAAACGAGTTAACACATCCGTACCGTAAGGCCACGAACCGTCGTTTATAGTACTAAAAGCTAATGGCGCGACACAGTTACAATGTTAAAGAATAATTGAATAAGCGATTACAAAGGGGAGAGAATGAATAGAAGTTGTCGCTTTTCCTGTACGCTCGACATTGCCGACGATGTGCGTAATAAATATTTTATTCTCGCCGAGCTGCTTGAATTTAGAACGAACGTTTATACGTCGAAAACTGTCGGGAAAGTAGAATGTTTTGTCAGCAAGGGGGTTTCTAGCTCGCGTGTCGATCGCTCTTCCTTCGCCGTTCCTTCATCGAGACCGAATACTTCAGTAACTTCGTAGCGTTCAATTACATCGCGGCTTTAATAGGATCGAATTACTTTAAGCGCAACGCCCTGAGCGAACAAACTCGCGACGACATCTGAGCGCGCTCGGAAGGATACGTGCATGGGAGTATACGCGAGTAGTCGTGGCATTGCCCGCGTCGTAGTAGTCGCTCGGTGATGACGATGGCTGCGGGATAAACTTAGGCATGTTTGCCGAGCAATCAAATATATGAGTGGAAAGTCTCGTGGGCGCTATCGATCGGCGGCTCCAAGTCCCCGCGATGATGGCGCACGAGGGGCGGTTGAATCGGAGGAAGAAGGATTCGAGGACGGAACGGGTGCGAGAGAAGCCCACGAAACTCAATTCGTGAAGGGCCGCCGATTCGACCAGCGCTTGATTATATCCACTGTTTGTTGCTGAACGTTATTCGTATTGCTAAGGCTAAAGGAGGACATTGAATATATTGTCTTCGAGTCGGTAGGAAATAAATCTGCCAGTCTAGTTGTAGCTATTGTTGTACACCGTTTTGTTAAGCTTGAGATATATGAATCTAAATATTTCTTACACGCCTTTTTACAGTTCAAGTTATCAACAAATTATCTAGACTAACTATGTTTATTTTCAAACAAATTTGCCTGCATCTTGTGATTATTGACATTTTCGAGTTGATTTATTTTACATCTTTTTCCATTTTTTTTTTAAGAACAAAGCGACGTACGTATATGCGTACATAAGTGATTTCTATTTTATTTATGAAAATCTATACATTTCTTATATTCCTCAGATAAAAATTAAACATCTTTTACGAATTTATTATGTATTAGATGATATAATAAAATGTATAATATATTTTTGATGGATGCAAAAAATAGTTAAAAAACTATTGTCATGACATATTGATTCATACATTTATGTGCATACGCGCGTGATTTCGGTTGGATATATGCGAAATTTCGTGAAATTCGAGTCCTTTATTTTCGCGCGAGCTTGCGTTCCACCAATGCGAAAAACGCCGAAGAAAAATCTCAAGTGCGCATCTCTTTCTCGTTTTCGAGAGATCCGCGGAAAGGGAAGGACGTGGGGAGAAACGCTTTGGAAGTTCCGGCGAATTCTTACGTTCGCCATATACGACTCCTGCAGGATCTAC